CCTAATAGTCTTCAGGCGACTAGGGTGTCTGTGCCACTGGGCCCTACAGGACACCTGCTACATAAGGCCACTCTGCCAAGACCAGGAGACGTAGCAGATCACAAACACAGGGAAACAACCAAAATGAGGAAAAAAAGAAACCTGTCCCAAGTGAAAGAACAGGATACAATTCCAGAAAATGAACTAAATGAAATGGAGGCAAGCAATCTATCAGATGCAGAGTTCAAAACACTGGTTATAAGGGTGCTCAATGAATTTACAGGAGAATAAGTGAACTCAGTGAGAACTTACACAGAGAGATAGAAACCATAAAAAAGAACCAGTTAGAAGTAAAGAATACAGTAACTGACATGAAGAATATATTAGATTGCCCGGTCAGGGTGGCTCAGAGGTTGAGCGTTGACCCATGAACCAAGAGGTTGCCAGTTTGATTCCTGGTCAGGACACATGCCTGGGTTGTGGGCTCAATCCCTGGTTGGCGGTGGGGGTGCAGGAGGCAGCCTATCGATGCTTTGCTCTCACATCGATGTTTCTCTCTCTCTCTTCCTCTCTCCCTAAAAATCCACAAACAGATATTTTTTAAAAAGACATAGGGTGGCCCCTAGCTGGTTTGGTTCAGTGGATAGAGTGTCAGCCTGCAGACTGAAGGGTCCCAGGTTCAATTCCAGTCAAGGGCACGTGCCTGGGTTGTGGGCTTGATCCCCAGTGGGGGGCATGCAGGAGGCAGCCGATCAATGGTTCTCTCTCATCATTGATGTTTCTATCTCTCTCTCCCTCTCCCTTCCTCTCTTAAATCAATAAAAAATAAAAAAAGACATAGGGTGGCTGAATGGATAAGAAAACATGACCCTTACATATGCTGTCTACAAGAAACCCACTTCAGGTCTAAAGATACACAGAGACTGAAAGTAAAGGGATGGAAAACATATTTTATGCAAATATAGACATAAAAAAAGATGGGGTAGCAATACTTTTATATCGGACAAAATAGGCTTTAAAACAGACTAAAAAGAACAACTTTTAATATACAATAATCAAGATATGGAAGCAACCTAAGTGTCTATTGATAGATGAAAGAATAAAGAAACAGTGGAATATATATACAATGGAATATTACAAGGCCATAGGAAAGAATGAAAGCTTAGCATTTGTGACAACATGATTGGACCTAGAGCAGGGGTGGGCAAACTTTTTGACTCGAGGGCCACAATGGGTTCTTAAACTGGACCGGAGGGCCGGAACAAAAGCATGGATGGAGTGTTTGTGTGAACTAATATAAATTCAAAGTAAACATCATTACATAAAAGGGTACAGTCTTTTTTTTTTTTTAGTTTTATTCATTTCAAACGGGCCGGATCCGGCCCGCGGGCCGTAGTTTGCCCACGGCTGACCTAGAGGGTATTATGCTCAGTGAAATAGGTCAGACAGAGAAAGAAATATACCATGTGATTTCACTTATAACTGGAATCTAAAAAACAAAATAAAACAAACTCATAGACACAAAGACCATTTTGACAGTTGCCAAATAGGAGGGGGTTTTGGGGACTGAGTGAAAAAGGTAAAGGGATTAAGTACAAGTTGGCAGTTACAAAATAGTCATGGGGTGTAAAGTACAGCAGAAGGAATAGAGTCCGTAATATTGTAATAACCATGTATGGTGCCAGGTGAGCACCAGACTTACCTAGGGGAATCACTTTTTAAAGTGTATGATTGTCTAACCACGCTATTCTACGCCTGAAACGAATGTAATATTATGTGTTACCTGATACTGAAAAATAAAAAATGAAATAAAAGAATGATGAAGATGGTAAATTTTGTTATGTGTATTTTGCCACAATAAAAATATTGGGAAAAATGCTTTGATCCTATCACGTTTCACACCTCTTTTTCCAGACTTTGGAGCTCATGCAGCATATGAAGCATGTTCACCATAGGGCCTCATGACCAAACACAAATCAGACCTGCTTCTGTCAGGGAAACATCTGAATTCATTATCATTTCAAATCAGTATATTGTAGCCCGGCCGGCATGGTTCCATGATTGAGCATCAACCTGTGAACCAGAGGTCACGGTTCGATCCCTGGTCAGGGCACATGCGTGGCTTAAGGCTTACAGGCGCAATCCCCAGTGGGGGGCATGCAGGAAGCCGCTGATCAGTGATTCTCTCTCATCATTAATGTTTCTATCTCTCTCTCCCTCTCTCTTATTCTCTGAAATAAGTAAAAAATATTTTTTATAAAATCACTATATGGTATAGCTGAAACTAATGTAGCCAATATAAGTTTGTATACCAACTATACTTAAATTAAAAAAAATGAAACCTTAACATGTTAAAACATATTTTGAGGAAAATTATTAAAAGAACTGAGAAACAAATTGAGGTGCATCTTAGATCAAGTGCCAAATGCAGTTAGACTGAAACATTGCAGAATGAGTTATTTAATGGCTGCTGTTTCTCATTACTTAAATTGCAGGATGGGGCATAAATCTAGGAGGCGTGAGAGGAATGAGGGCGGGCCTGAGTCCCTAAGTGAAAATGAGCATGTTGTGCCCAGTTTGGGGGAATATTCAACTAAGATTTATTTATAGAAGTCAGAAATACTCTTACTAGTCTTATTAGACATGATTAAAGTCATTTTATATATTTAGTGAAAAAAAAATGAGATAGAAGAATGCTGAAGATGGTGTATACTGATCAAAAACTAATTGCTCAGGAAATTAGCATCCTATATAATAAAGAGCTAATATGCTAATTAGACCAGATGGTGGAACCTTAACATGTGCAGGTCTGTATGGTTGGAGTGGATTTGCTATTGACATCATGTCCAGAGGATATGGTGAATTCCAGAACGACCTTCCGGAACGACCAATGGGTGGAGGGTGGGGCCGTGAGGCAGCCGGGGTTGCGAGGGCCAAGCCCCTTGCACGAATTTTGTGCATCGGACCTCTAGTATATTAGATATATGAGATGGGAAAGGATGGTTGATGTTGAAGTAAGCATATGTGATGTGATCGACTAACCAAATCTGAAAAAAATCACATTAAACCTATGTGGTAGGCTTGATCTCTTCTGTCTTAAAAAGTTTTATAGCCCATGTGTGGGCCTGCCAATGGTGTATTCTTAGAATACTAGTAAATATTGAGAAGAAAATTATTGCTTATCTGTAAGTAATGGGGGGGCTTTAGGTTTGCTCTGCTCTGGGCACCGGCCCCAGCCCTCCCCTGGCCCCTTCCAGGCCCTGCTGAGTTCAGAGCCTTTCTTCCCTAACTCAGCCATTGAAGACAGCTTTTCCCAAACCAGTGCTTTGGGTTGTCCCACAGCTGTGTGCCTTGAAGTTTTCTTATTCCTGGGGCAGTGCAGGATGGGTGAGGATTTGTTTTCCTTTGCTTTTTAAAGGGAAATGCCTCAGGAGACGGTTCTACGAGATCTGTGGAAGTTGACGTCTGGAGACTAATTCCCTTAAAACCAGTGGTTTTATGTGTGCGGTCCCAGCAGCATCTGCTTCTCCTGGGAACGTGTAAAAATGCAAATTCTAGAGCTGCCAATTCTAGAGCTTGGGCATCTCGGTGGCCGATGCCTGCCCAGATTTGAGAAACGTGCAGACCTGTATGGTTGGAGTGGGTTTGCTCTTGACATCATGTCCAGAGGATATGGCGACTGGCTTTTGTGTAAACATTAGGCATTTCATTTTTGTGTATTTTGGAACCAGTATAGTCCGTGTGCAGTTTTATTGAAGAGCACAGAATCTGTCCTGCCTGATGCAGGAAGGTCCCTGTTGCCAAGTGAGGAACAACAGCCAGAACCCTCACTCCAAACAAACAGGCGGTGTCTTTGGGTCCCTGGACAGTTCACCCGGTGGGAGGTGACCTGGGGTCCTCTCCAGGCAGGTGGCCCAGAGCTCTGCAGGCAACTCTGTGGGTATCTGAGCCAGGCCAGGGCTGGGAGGCCAGGAAAGAGGGGCCTGGGCAATTCCCAGAGCAGGAAGAGTGTTTTTTTAATCTTCACCCGAGGATATGTTTTTTATTGATTTTTCAGGGAGAGAGAGAGAAAGAGAGAGAGAGAGAGAGAGAAGAGGAACATCGATGTCAGAGAGAAATATCGATCAGTTGTCTCCCTATGTGCCCCAACTGGGGTTTGAGCCCACAACCCAGGTATGTGCCCTGACTTGGATTCAAACCCACAACCTTTTGGTGTAGGGGTTGATACTCCAACCAATTGAGCCACCTGGCCAGGGCAGGGCCTTTTTTTTTTTTTTTTTTCTGAAGAGACACCTGCTCCATCTCTGTGGCCAGTTCCAGAGCCTATGCTCTCTGCCTCCCGAGATTTGTGAATCGTCGTTTTTACCAGGCCCCCCACCTGTCTGTCTCCCTCCCTCCCTTCCTTCCTCCCTCCCTTCCTTCCTCTCTCTCTTTCTTTCTTTCTTTCTTTCTTTCTTTCTTTCTTTCTTTCTTTCTTTCTTTCTTTCTTTCTTTCTTTCTTTCTTCCTTTCTTTCTTTCTTTCTTTCTTCTTCTTTTCTATTTTGCTTCCACTTCTGATCCTTTTGAAGTACAGCTACTTGTTTTTGTTTTTTAAATGCAAATTATATTAAATCCTTGCTTAAAATTAAAATTGTTCCAGGGCTTCCTGTGCCCGTAGGAAAAAGTCCAGAAGTGTCCGCTGCACTTGCCTCCCCTGCCTCCGAGTGTCTGAGCTGCTCAGGGCCGTGCTGGTGTGGTCCCCGGCCTCAGACCCCGTGAGGAATGAAATAGGCGTTTTATTCCATCGGCTGTGCTTATAGTTAATTTTGATACTGCTTTCCCCGTACAGCCTGAGCGTGGCGCCTGTCCTGGTCTCAGGACTTGTTGAGTCAGCTGTTCCCTCGTGGGCTCATGTAAGCTCTCTGAGGACAGGGGCCCTGATTGCCACTGTGTCCCAGGCCTTGTAGAAGCTCAGTAAACACTTATTAATCGTTGGTGCCCTTTCCCTGTTGTTCATTTACGCCCGTATCTTGCATTGTAGTTTGGGGCTGAGTTCCGAAGGTTCTCCTTAGACCGCCAAAAGCCTGGGAAGTTTGAGGATTTCTACCAGCTGGTTGTGCACACGCACCACATCGCCAACACCGAAGTGACCATCGGCTACGCAGACGTGCACGGCGACCTGCTGCCCATCAACAACGATGACAACTTCTGCAAGGCGGTCTCGAGCGCAAATCCCCTGCTCAGGGTCTTCATCCAGAAACGAGGTACTGCTTCCCTGGCTCGGCACTCATCTCAGGGATGAGTACAGTCCTCAGTTTTGTCTGTCATGACAGAGCCTGAGATTTTGTTTTCTCGCCAGTGGTAAGAGACGAAAGGAATTAACATTTGTTTGGTCAACATTACTTTATTAGAAAGGCTTAAAAATATCTAAACGGTATTTTCCACTGTAGTGTTGACTTCTGATTTTTAAATACTGAGGAAAAAAGTAATATTGATACTTTCAGTATTTTAACTGGAAGCAAGTTAATTCAGTAACGAAAAGGCCTTAGTCAGTAACCCAAGAATGAAATTTAAGGTTGCCAGTATGTTTTCCACTGTGTTTTTGGGGTTGGAAAAAGATGTTAGTTTTAAATTGTTACTTTGGTTAACTTGAGCTCTGAAGACCTAGTTTTGCTGTGACAACATCAGAGCCACATTTTTGATTTGTTTTCTCTTCGCTAAGTTTGGGAGAGCGTTAACATTTCAAAATTATATACCTTTGAACAACATGGGGGTTAGGGGTGCCAACCACCTTGCACTCAAAAATCCACGTATAACTTTTGACTCCATAGAGTGCTGCTGTCCCTGGGCACTTACAGGGGATCCATTCCAGGACCCCCTGCTGGTACCAGAATCCGGGGATGCTCAAGTCCCCTCTATAGGACAGCCTAGATCAGTGGATACGGTCAGCCCCCTGCATCCTCGAACTCCTAGCCACAGATCAGAAACAGAGCAGGTGTTTATGGAAGGCCGTCCACGTGTAAGTGGACCCACACAGGTTGTTCAAGGGTCAACCGTACTGACGGAAAGAACCCCCTGAGGTGACACTTGATTTTCGGGAAGTGGAAAAATGGCGTTTTATGGTTGACTTGGTCATGACTGTCCCCCTTCTCCGAGAGCACCTTCTGTCACATGTGAGCACTGGGTGCCCTTAAAGAACAGAGGCCTGGGGAAGACCTGCAGCCCATGTGCGTGCTACTGTGCCTTTGATCTTAGCAGGAGGGGACGGGTCCTGGTCTCTGGATGGGGGCAGAGCCTAAGCACCCACTAAAGTAGCAGCCACAGCCACGAGTGCAGGGGAGGCCCTCGGGGACACGGGGCCTGGGGCTCGGTGCGGCAGGTGCTACTCTTCCGCGCAGGTTGTCTTGAGGTGAGCGGCAGCATGTGCACAGCTCAGAGCACACTGGCCGGTGGTCAGTGCTCCGGGAATGAGCTGTCACATCCTGTTTGTAGTGACGGAGGGAATGCATGTGGAGAGGGAGCACCAGGAGACCGCTGACCTCACTCTGGACTTTTTTCTGGCACAAGATCAGAAAGCTCCGCCTCTGCGTTCCAGACGTCAACACAGCTGTCACTTCCTCAGGTGGCCTGGGGGACTGGCTGAGGCGTAGGACCCTCTTCTGCCTCTGCAGGCCCTGGCTTTGCTGTGGCTGCTGCATCCTCCCTGCCCCTGCGGCCCCCACCACACATCACCTGGGCAGGTGTTCGCGCCCCCCTCTCAGGAGGGCCTGGTCCCAAACGCTCTACCTAAGGCGCCCGCCTGCCCGTCGGCTCTCTCTGCTGTGGTTGCTCGCTGCTCTCAGGGCTGGCTTGTCCCACAGCTCTGCCCACAGAGGTCGTGCTGTCGGCTCACTGGTGTGGGAGGTGAGCAGTGGGTGTGAGGCGCCACGTGGAATGCAGGGGATGCGGGCTTTGTCATCTGTGGGAAGGGAACGCGTCTCTGTACCACTGTGTATGGGCTGGGCTTGGAGCAGGACAGAGGCACTGTCTGCCCTTTACGAGGCCGGTCCTCATGACACCTGGCACCCTCGCTCTTGATTCCCCGACGCTGAGACACGGGAAGCTCCTGGTCTGTGTGTGTAGCTGGGGCTGCATTAACTTCCAGGCTTTTCCTCTCCGCAGGGCCGAGGTCTTGCATCCTGTCTTCATTATTTACTTTTCCTCCTTCCTGTGGCAGCAGAGAAATAGCCCAGAGATGAACGAGCTGGCTGACGGTTCCGACCCCTCTTGTTCTCAGCATGAGCCTGTCACCTGCAGCCCCTGCCCCTTTCTCTGTCATGTGGCAGCAGGAGCTCGGAGCACCTGAGACTGCCCCTCCAGCACCTGCTCCCTGGCTGTGACCAGCGAGCCCCCCTGTCCTCAGCTGAGGCACCCACCTCAGGGTGTTTTCCGGCTGACACAGGAAGACGTCCCCGTGTTCACAGCCGTCAGTGTACCTGCACAGGATCGGCAGGACCCGCCAATAGAAATCACAGACGTGTTCATATCGTGTTAGTTGTAGCCAGATATCTTGAATATCATTGATAGTTAGTCATTATTTTAAAACAATGGTACAGATTGTTATTTAATGTGTTAGTGAGAAATCACATACAGTCAGCCCTCCATGTCTGTGGGTTCCACATCCATGGGTTCAACCAACTACAGATCGGAAATATTTGGGGGGAAATGTTTTGTTTTTTGCTGATGTGCTACACAGTGAGGCGTCCTACAATGGTTGTATCTATACTAAACACGTGCAGACTTTCCCTTGTCATTCCCTAAACAATACAGCATTATATAGCATTTAAATTATTTATATAGCATTTAAATTGTGTTAGGTATTATAAGTAATCTAGAGGTGATTTAAAGTGTATGGGAGGATGTCCGTAGGATATATGCAAACACTAAACCATTTTATATAAGGGACTTGAGTATCCATGGATTTTTATATCGAGGGCGGGGGAATCCTGGACCAATTCCCTTATGGATATTGTATACATATTGCTTTAATATTTTGATAGTTGTCTTCAAAGTGATCATTTCCTCTGTAATCCCATGTATTTTACTTTATGCCTTTAAAAATGCTACCCCAAGAAGGCATTCCCAAGCACTATGAGATGGCTGAGGGTTCTGGGCACTGGGGTAAGGACACTGTTGCAGTCAGCATTTGGGAGCTCAGACAACAGGCCCGGAACCAGTCAGGGGACTTTTCCTGCGGAAGCTGGGTGGTGTTTTTGCCCGAGGGGCAGAGGACCACCCCTTTGGCTTTACTTCTACAGGCTCTTCTGCATTTACTAGACTTCTGAGCCCTCTGTCCAGGCTGGGCTACTGTTAAAAGCTGTGGGGTTTTCCCTGGGTTAAATAACAGATGTTATTATGCCTTTCACTTTCATGCTTTGCCCATTTTAGTAAGAGAATAAAGTAGTCAGAGGCAGAATCGGGAGTCCTGTTTGCATATTTGGGCGACAGACCCAGCCAGTGTTAGGGAAGCTCGTCTCTCTGTGCCCTGCGGACGCCTGTCCTTCCCGAGGAAGCTGGCCCGGCCAGAGAGAACGCAGGACAAGACCAGCAGAGATGCTTGGAGTGTCTCTTTCTAATTTTAGCCGAATAAACAGGAAGTACAAATACCCATCGAATAATTACTTCAACTACCCTGTGCCTGTACTCTTGTTATTTAAGAGATGGGCCTCTTTACCTCTCGGGCCCCAGCCCAGGAGTAGAGGTGGAATCCTAATTGAATTTCATTTGCTCTCTGTCCCTGGGGTACCACTGCCCGGGCATCAAGAGGAGGTTGATGAAGTCTTCATTATACTACAAGGCTTTCGGAACAATTAGAGTGCTCTGAACTGTTTACTTTTAAAGTAGCCTAAATATAGCACACTTGCTTGTATCTGTTAACTGTTCTCTGGCAATTCTTTGGGTTTCTCGAATGAGGAAGACACATTTATAAACTTTTTGATTTATCAGAAGTTGAATGATTGGGAGCTGGGGCGAGGGTGTGTGTGTGTGTTTGCTTGTGATTCCACTTAAGCGAGTTGCCAGAAAGAGTAATTAAGGCGTGTTCTTCCAAGTAAAATGTATAGAATTATTGAGAGTTTGGTTTAGACATTGGCAGAATCTTGTTACCAGGCATATGAATCCTGATTATGATGGCTTTTCTTGGATTCTGTATTCAAAGTAGCTGGAAATGTGTTTGGTTTTAAGTTGGAGGCTCACTGTGTAGCAGGAATTAAAGTTGCCACCACTGAATTTCTGTATCCCCACCCTGTTTCATTCTTCCTCAGACGCGGCTCTTTGAGTTGTGAGTAAAGGTGTAGGTTTGCTCATGTCCCTACACCCTGGAATCTGGAGCTTTTTCATGAGACACGTCTGCTTTTTTTTTTTTTTACGTCTGCTTCTTTAATTGTCACTGTGTCTTGGAAGTTTGAGTATTTGAAGAATTTCTTTCCTTTTTTTTTTAAATTGAAAAAAGGGCAAAACCTCTCCCACTGCCTCCAGTGGGAACATGCAGAAAACAAAATGCCTGACCCAGCGCCCCCCTTCCCCCCAGGAGTGGGAGTGATGGGGAGAGAATGTGCTGATGCAGCTCGTGAAAAGGAAAACAAAGGCCAGCCGCCCACTGTCCGCAGAATCCAGGCCTTGTCCTGCGGGCCGGCCTGCAGGCTCTGACCAGTGCAGTCCACCTGAGTCTGAGCGCTGCCTCTTCCCCTCCAGTCAGAGTTTACACAATGGAATTGGATTCTACTCTTTTCTTATTTTCTAGTCATATGTACTTTTACACATTCAAGCCCAGAGTATAATTTATAATTTGGATTCATGCATTTAAAAAACTTAACATCATAAATAACCATGTCCTATGTCATTAAGTTATTTGTAAAACTGTTTGTTTTTAAAAGTCTGTTCTGTTTATAACATCTTCATAAAAGAAAACTCAAACAGCGTGGAAACAACGCTGCCTTGAGGTGATCACTGTGTCCATTTTGGCGAGCCCCTCCAGACCCGTGGTGCGGACAGTCCGTGGGACCTCGTGGTACATAAACGGGGTCATAATATGTGTCCTGTAGAGATTATTTTAACCTAAAATTATATTTTTGACTTTCTGTACATATATGTAGATATATATGATCCTTTTTTTTTTTTTAATCCTCACCCAAGGATATTTTTGCCATTGATTTCTAGAGAGAGTGAAAGGGAGGGAGGAGAGAGAGATGGGAGGGAGGAAGACATTGATTGGTTGCCTCCTGCA